AAAGAAAGAAAAGAAAGAAAGGCTCCATCCTCTGTGCAGCTTCCCCTCAGATATTTTTATGTGTTGGTGGGATTCCCCTTCTCCAGGCTGGATAGTCCTGGCCTTTCTCATGGGAAATATGCTCCTGTCCCTCAGTCATCTTCGTGGCCCTTTGCTGGAGTCCCTGTTGTACTGGGGAACCCAGCACTGGCCCCAGCTGTGGCCTCACCAGTGCCAGGTTGAGGGGAAGGATCACTTCCCTCCTCCTGCTGGTGATGCTTTGCCTCATGCTGTGATTCTTGTGCCCAGCAAAGATGCATTGTTGGCTCATGTTCAGCTCAGTGTCCACCTGGACCTGCAGGTCCTGTCCTGGCAGCTGCACTCAGGGTGGGTGACATCTTTGTGACATCTGCTCCCTTGTCAATTGGAATTGTTTGCATTGAGAAGCTGAAGTGTCTCACTTGCTGGTGAAGTAGCTTTTGTGTCTGTCCTGGGCAGGGATATTAAATGCACAGGGTGTTCCTGGACATTTTTTTGGAATGCCTACAAGATGTGCATTAGCATCTGGTAATCTAATACCCAGTAAGGACTCAAATACATTCTTTAGAGGAATAGCTCTTAACAGGAAGAGAAAATTAAAGCACTTCTTTTGTTATTTTATGATCAGAAGTCAACCTGACCTAAGAGCAAAATTTAAAGTGAAACTTTCATTAAGGTGGTTTTGTCCTCGCAGCTTGCAGTGGAGTAGCACTTGCCCATGCACATCAGCACTTCTTGGTATTTGGTCAGGAAGGGGCTGAGTGCCCATTGCCCAGACAGTCTTATTTTTTCATCCCGTTAAAATTCACCAGTTTGCCAACAAGTAAGGCTCTCCAAGTCCCAGGAAGAGTTAGCCTGTAGAGTTTTGGATCTTGCGACCAGCCTTAAGRAAGCTGCATAGTGGAAAAGGCTGTTACATTTTTCCACTGATCTTGCTGATGTGAATTTGTGTAGGTCAGGTAGGTTTTTATAGTACCAGGTCAATAAATACCCCCAYTCAGGAGTTCCATATGGCATCTTCTTCAGGAGACAAGTAAAACGAAAAACAAGCTATTTCCTTTGGTGTTTGTAACCACATAAAGGGTTTTTTTTACACTTAAAAATTACCACAGGATAGCAATTTGTTGTACTTACCTGAGGTTTCAGTACCACACCCATCCCAGTGGTGATGCACTGTGATGCACAGGGTCACGTGAAGCCTTTGTTATGATAATGGCTCTGCTCAAGTGTTACTCACTTGGTTTGTTTTCCTGCCCTAACACCAGCTGTTGGAACCTGGGCAATGGAAGCACCTCATGAAACTGGTGCAACTGGACACAAATACAAGRCTGCAATGATATTCTGCCTTTCTAGAACCAGTCCAGTCCCCCACAGTCTCAGTACAATAGCCCAGGAAGATAACCCTGTCGGAGTGTTTTTATAAAGCTGATTGAAACAGAAGCTGTGTTTGAATGATCCTGTGGCCAGTAGAGCCAGGCTGCTCTCACTGCAGATGGCTTGTTACTCTCTGCTGGGCTTCCAGTCTCACTTGGTTTATGAACACCACTGGCACTGGAGCCACATTGCTTGCTCTGACCACTCTCCATCATATGAAAGTGCTTCAACTGCACTTTGTCTTTGTTGCTAATGTGAAAAAGAAATTTTCTGCATGCATTGCCCGATTTAATTTCTGTTTCAGTTTAAATCTGAGCAGTTCCTCAGCCAGCTCCCTCCACAGCCACTCTCAGATCCCTGTAAGTCCATGTTCACCTTTTTCCACGTTTCCTGAAGTGCTTGTCACGCCCTTTTCTTGCTGCACTGCTCTGGTCTCTTTTGCTGTGATGTGTCTGCTTCCATATCTGTCACAGTGCTTACATCAGTCCCATCTGCTTTCTTTGGGTGAAATGAGKGTTTTCTGGCTCAGGCTTGTAGCAGCCATTTTCCTTGAGTGGATGACATCAGCTCCTGCTCTGCCTTGMGCTGATGTGAAAAACCTGATGCCAAATGAGCAGTGTAAGCTGGAATTACCCATGGCTCTAAACCAAAGCCTTCTTCCCCACCCAGACAGCCCACTGGTGCTCATCCTCACAGGAGGAATGGTGGATTTGCTGCTGGAGCAGCAGCACCCATGCACTGTTTGCTGTTGGTTTGCTGGAAAGGCCTTGCACATGTGTGAGCAGCCCAAGGCCAAGCTGGGACCTTCTGCTGCCTCTGCCCACARCAGTGTGTGGTGTTTGGCAGCACCTTTACTGAGCACCTGTGTTCCCCATAACTCAAACCTTKGGGCTGGAGCAATTTGGCAGGTGCAGTTCGTTGGCTTGAGTTTCACAAGAGGCCATTCTGAGTGGCAAGAAGGCCTTTTCTGGCCTTTAAACATGTGTCTCTACAAACTTTTCCACCAGCTACATTTAACTGGGCAATTGCTCCTGACTTTTCCTGAACTTGAGATATTGAGGAGATTGTTTCACACCAAAGTCATTTGGATGTGCAGGATGGAGCARGGGCCTGTGCTACTTCTCCAGCAAAATTCCTAGGATTTTTTCCTAATTTTATTTCCAGGTATTAACGTAGAGTTGGGTTGGTTTGTATTTTCTTTGGTCAGGAATAATTTGCCTTCAACAGGATAATGACTTGGGGAAGTTTCTCCTCTGTTTGTTGCATTTATCACAGGAGTGTGTTAGATTATCCTAACCAGCGCATTGTGTCATGCCCTGAGCAGCCCCTTGGCAGCACTGTCTGCACACTACTGCTCCTCACAGAGGTTTTGTGGGTGCTCTTTAGGCAGGATGGGGTACCCAGAMTCTTCTGCACAAAACTTTGCCAGCTGATGATRTTTGGACACTCCCTGTGGTGTAGTSTGTAGYAGATAGGWGTGAGGGTAGCATTTCTGATGAGGACAGGTCTAGTTCTGGTGATTTAGTATTTCTGCAATGAAGAGTTGCCTCAAGTGCACTACAGTCTACARAAATACCTCATAGAAAGTATTCTGTTCTCAGTGGGGCTAAAATATTAATATGGAAATAACTCAGATCAGTTCATGGCTAAGCTCTCTGTCACCATAGGGCAGATACATGCTAAAGCAAAAGGTGAAGTCCTCATGCTGTTGAGATCTATTTGTCCTTCCCCAAAAATCCATGTGAGCGGGTTGATTTACAGATCTCAGTAGAGTGATTGATGAAAAAAACATTATGCTCCTCTGGCAGCTCTGCTTGGTTTGATTTAGCGCATATTCTGGTACATTTTACAATTTTTTGCACCTAAATTGTTTAGCTGTAAGATGCAAATCAACAATCCCCCCCATGCTTGGGTTATTTTCATTTTCTCTTGCCTACATTRTATCTYCARAYGTTGTGTGGAAKGTCTTCTGTCCTCTGCAGGGTAGCCATAAGCTGAAAGGATTTTTTTTTAGTCTTACTGTGCCTACTGCCTGTGGAGAGCAAAATAATGTGTGAAGCTTGGATCCATCTAGGTTCARGCATCTGAACTGTAATGTCAGGTGTGAGCTCGGCAGGTAGATGCCTCTGCTGTGAGTGCAGTGAATGGGTGCAGTCTTTCATTGCTAAGACTTATGAAGCTGAATTCCATCCTTTCTGTAGAATGCATGTTGCTTTTAAAGTATTTCATTGGATTCAAGGGATCTCTCTGTGCTCTCTGGATTTGTATTTCTCATTTTTATCTCAACAGTAACAGAGATTATTTTCTCTTTCTAGGGTGACTGTTGGATCTGTATGGAGCTCATGTCTACCTCGTTTGATAAGTTTTACAAATATGTATATAGTGTATTAGATGATGTTATTCCAGAAGAAATCTTAGGCAAAATCACTTTAGCTGTGAGTATTTTGTTAAACCTTTTTTGTTGAAGATAATTGAAAAGTTCAAATCCTTGTTCAAATCACTCCATGTGAAAAGCTGGTTGGTTTGTGCTGCTGTCTGCACCACACTGGGARTGGTTCTTAAGGGTGCTCATGACTTTTCAACAATATGTTGCATGGTGTWAAAGGAGCTCCTGGGGTCACTAATGAGTTCATAAAGAGACCCCACATCTGCTTCCTGCTCTGTCTGCTTGAATGTGGGCACCAGCTCGCTCTGCAGGGCTTGCTTCATGTGCTGGGAGTGCCATCACTGGGASCTGGCTGTCTCCTCCCAAAGAAGGTCCCTAAAAGGGTTGATGTGTCTCCCCTTCCCTGGTTTGTAAAGGGAGCAAGGAATTGGGCATTTCTAACCAGGGGAGGTGAATCCTACCAGGCTCCAGTCTCAGGGAGTTGCCCACATTCACTCTCAAGTGATGGGGAGCAGATTGWGTGGGGGGTGAGGTCCCATCTCCTGGTACCTGAGGTGATGAAGGGAGAAGAATCCCACCCAGAGTATGTGGGTGCAGCCCTGCTACACCTTTCAGGATCCTTTCAGGATCTCTGTGAAATTACCCATGGCTGTGCCAAAATGARCCCTTGGTTGGCTGAACACTAGGGCCAGGTCTGGTCCTGCAAAACAAACTTGTGGATTGGGTCTGGGGAGGGAGGGCTGTTAAAAGAGTGTCCTGAAACCTCTGTCCTTCTGCTGCCCTTACCAATCTGTCTGCTCTGCTGGATTTCTGTAGAGGTTGCCCGGCCCCTCCAGTCCAGAGAAGCTTCTGGCAGTCTTGTGCAAAGGCTTCCAAAAGCCCTGGAGARTCTGGCTGATGTTTTCTTGATTTAACCTGGAGGTTTTGGCCTAATGAAAAGTCACGCAATTGAAACAGTTGTGACCTGCTGAAAAAAATGCAGCATAGAGCTTGAATTAAGTTATTGCTCCGGATAATTAACATCAGAGATTTGTTGATGGTAATTACAAACCAAGGGTTTGGCTCCACCCCTTGCTCCCTTCTCCCAGAGTGGAATCTTTACAGGTCACAGGGAATGTGTGTTCACTTAAGCACATACCCTCTCTTGTATCACCTGTTTGCAGAAAAGGTTCYGAGAAAAATGCTTTTATTATGTGGCATATTACAGCATGGATATCTCAAGTGTATTAAATGCTTCTTCCTCATATTCTTGGAGTTCCAAAAATTTAATAATCACAAGACTCTTAGGACATCTGCTTATTTTTCATCTGTTTTTCTCTCCTAGACTGTGAAAGCACTAAACCACTTAAAAGAAAACTTGAAAATCATTCACAGAGGTGAGTTCTTCATGTCTTTTCTGAAGTTTATGCCATTTCTTCTTTTCTATTTAAATAATTGCAAGAATTGTTAGCGGTCTTTGCCTCACTCAAAGTGTAAATAGCACCTGTACCACCACGAGTCTGAGTGCAGGTTTTGAACAAGTGTCCTCAATGCCTGTTCTGTTGCCTCTTCAGCCTGTGCTTTATCCACGTAAATGTCATTTCAGGGTGTTTGGCCATCTGCCTCTGCCTTTGGGCACGTGGCGTCTCCGGGGCTGCCTCCATCCCCTCGTGCTCCCTGGCAGTATCCAGTGCCAARGGGTGACGGTGATGGCGTGGCACTGCCGGCCTCCATCCTCTGCAGCTGCTCTGCTTGAAATTGAGACCTCCAGCYGTGACTTACTGCTTTAAATTTCTTTCCCCTGCAGACATCAAACCTTCCAATATTCTTCTGGACAGAAATGGAAATATTAAACTCTGTGACTTTGGCATTAGCGGACAGCTCGTGGACTCCATTGCCAAAACACGGGATGCAGGGTGCCGGCCGTACATGGCGGTGAGTGGCATGAGCCCTGGGCTCTGCAGGATCTCAGCCCTCCAGGTGACAAGCAGGCCTGTCACCAGCCTGTTTGCTGTGGGATSAACACCCTCTTCTTGGATGAAAGTGAGCTCTGCATTGAGCGCTGCTGTGGCAGTGTCATCCAGGCTGTGGCAAAGTGACCAAATTCCTGGTTTTCYGCTGGGTTCCTGTGCTGCTGCCAGGGCTGTGGTGCTGGAGTGTRGAGGAGCTCTGTGCCTTTTAGCAACTCTAAAAAACCAGTGCCTGGGGGAGCAGGGCTATCAGTGGGTTTGTCTTGGTCTGCAAGAAATCCATTTGCTCTGGTAAGATTATGTCACAGGAGTTACTGCAGAGCAGAATTRTAGTGAGTTTTGTAAACCACTTTAATTCCAAAGTGTGCCAGAACTTCATTCCAGGAGAATGTGATTCTGGAGAGTGGCAGTAGCRAAGCAGCTGTGTGGAAATTGCTGGGGCTGAGTTGTGGCTCCTGGGAGTCTGTCCTGCTTGTTTGCTGCCCTCCGGCTCCCAGAGAGAAAAGCTGTAGTGATGATTTTGGAAGCTGTCTGAGGGTTTTAAACACTTCAGTGCTTCAGGGTGCTTTGAAAATGTATCTCTGCTCTCACATGAACCAAGGGTACCTTGCGCAGGGAGCTGTGTGCCTGCTGCTGTTCATATAAMTTTAATTTTAGTGCCTATATTTAAATTTTGTTGCATGTTTATGGCTCTGTATGCTGAAAAATATTGTTTTCTGAACTCCTTTTTATCTACCAYTGAGAAGAAAAAAGGAAAATATCTCTTTTAAGGTACGGTGCCCATCTGGCCCAGGCCATGGCTCTCAGATGGGTTTTGTCTGACTGTGGTGTCCAAGGCAAAACCTGTCTGCCCTGACTCTGATCTGTGCAAGCACARAGTCTGTATTGCAGAGCATTTGACCTTTTCCTCTCAGTGTCCTCCTAGCAGAGGTAGTTACTTACTGAGCTGAACARGATAATATGGATGAGATTTGTTCTTGAGTCCATAGCTGTGGTACAGCAAAGCTCTGTGCAAGTCCCAGGCCCACCCAAAACTTGGTGCAAGTGGGCAGTTTGTTAAATAAAGGCCTTGTGAGGCTGGAGGTGGGCAGAGGCATGTGTCTGCTCTCAATGCTTGTGGCAAGCGTGTGGAGCTCCCAGCAGGGAAGAGGCTGGAGTAGAGATACCCAGTTGGGGGGGGTTGATGGGGTGGAAAATGCTGATGGCAGCAGCAAGAGGGGTGCCTGGGAGGGGTGGGAGCCAGAGCAGTCTGAGCTGCTCTGACTGAGGCTGTGTTTGTACCCCAGACCACAGGCACTTGGAGAGCATCGCTCTGTGCACTTAGGGCTGTTATTGCTTGTTCCCTGCACTCTGAGTTGTGTCTTGGCTGTAATAGAGCTCTTGAAAAAGCCTGTCACCTTTTCCCCTCTAAAKTTCAGTGAGCCATAATTACAGGAATTAATGGTCCCACCTTTTCTTTGAGCCATGGGTTGGTGGTTAGCTCTGCTCAGGCTGTTGGTGACAGTTCCTGACATGTCTGTAAATAGCTGCAGTGCTTCCTTTCTGCTAGAATGCTGTGAGTGCTTCCACAGCCGCTTGGTTTTCCTTTTTCCTGTCTGTCTTTCTGTCCATCTGCACTCTGTGATTTGGGCATCTCCATCAGCAGCTCCAGGTGGACTTTTAAATGAGCAAAAGTGTTGCAGTTCAGTTTGTGTTTTTCAGAGCCTTGGCATGGCACAGGGTTTGTKGGGCAGCCAGCAGCTGGCAAGCGATGTGGAAGACGACTGGCCTCTTCCCTGCTGCTCTCCAGCCTCAGTGACTCCTTTCCAAGTACATGAGCATTTCCACGTACTAGGAAGCCTGGGAAATGGGGAGATGTCCCAGTGTGCAGGCACCTGTGCCAGCTATTTCTCTGAGCCAGCAGAGGCTGATGTCTGAAGGGATGTTGTGATCAGAGCTGGATATACCTGGGGAGGAGTCAGGCCAATATACTCCTCTCAGAAGAAAAACAGGTTTTTTTTTAGTGTAAAATAGGCCAAGAGTAGTAGCTGTGTTCAGCCAGGGAGGCTCTRCTAAGGGCTGCTGGATACTTCTGCCTCGTGATAGTGTCTCATTTGCAAGGTCCACCAACCCTTTTGGCCCCTGAAGGAACTTGTAACAGCCTGTTCCTGGGGCTGGTCCCCACATGGCTGTTGGTGACAATGACACTGGATGGTGGCCAGCCTGGCTGAGAGTGGTCTGAGGAGGCAGCAGGAGCCATGTCCAGCTGCCAAGCRAGTGCTGTGTGCTTGAACCAAAATTGCTGGAGCTGTTACAATGAGTGGCGCCTCGGTGTTGGAGCTGCAGTGCTGAGAGGTTGTTTTACTCTTGGCTTTCAGTTCCCCTGTGATTGTTACAGTGAGCAAAGGCCTCTGTGCTGGTGCCTCATGTTCTCTGAGAGAAACAAAGGCAGGCTCGAGTTCCCAGGCAGCCACTGACCCYTGGAGCAGCCCAGGCTGTTGTGAGSCCTCCTCACGTGTGCCCTGTGCTGGTGCCAGTGCTGGGGGTTTGCTGCAGGTCAGCTTCCACAGCCTTCACCCAGCAGTGGGCTGAGRTTGCTCCAGGCCAGCCCTGCACCCTCCCTGCAATCCCTGCCCTGYCTCTGGCTGGGTGGGTGCTGCTGAGCGTGGGCTCTGTGTGTCACCCTGGAGCTGGTGGCCTTTGTGGCATTACTGCTTTTGGCCTTTTGAACACTCCAGTGAATCCAGTGCCTGKCAGAGAGGAAGGGTGAGACTGGAAGTGCTTGGTTTAGGCAGAGGGAGACATAGCCAGCATGAGGATGGATGTCTTGCYCTGCCCTGCTCCTTTGGGACCTCCAGAACAGGGTGTGATGGTGTCACTGGCATCCTTGGTCACCTCAGGCCCTTTTCCCAGGCCAAGCTGGAGCCTCTGGCTGCAAACTTCATCTTCTCACTTCTCCCTGATGAAGGTGGACAGTCACTGCTGGCACTGGTGTCAGGCCCAGCTGGATGTCCTTGTGTTCAGATGGTTCAGGCAGAGAATTCAGATGGTTCAGGCCATACATGGAAGAGGAACATTTCCCAAGGCAGGTGACAGTGACAGCTCTGACCCCTCTCTCCCAGCCATGGAGGGGAAGGCTGTAGGGATGCAGGAGTTCCCTGGATCCTTTTCCCAAGCAGAGCTACTGAAAGAGCCTGTTTGAGCTTTGCATTCCTGACCAAATGCCCAGGTTTTCATAAGGCTCAGTCAGTCATTTATCTGCACAAGCAGGGTTTGAATTCATCATCTTGGATGCCCCTGAATATTACTGTATATTGGACTTTTTTTCCTCTTGCCTCTGAAACTTGGCACCCAGCCATAGTTTTTTTATGACTGATAAAACAGATTTGGGAGGAGACTGAGAGCACCATCCCTCTACAAGCAGAGTGCACTGAATCCCCCTTTGGTGCCTGTGATGAAGCAAATGCCAGAGAGATGCCTGAGCTGTGAGTGCAGCTATCCCCACTCGTGTGCCACTGCTGTCACCCACATGCTTTCAACTTGGAATGTGACCTCTGCTTACTTATCCACTGGCAAAAATMATCTCTAAGGTTTACCCTGCAAAAAAAAAAAGGTTCTGCTGTTGAGACTTGGGCCCTGAGTTCACACAGCATGGAGCCTGTGCTGAGCAGCCCTGCTGGAGTGCKGAGCCTGGGTCTGTGCCTTGCTGTTGCCACCCTTGCCCTGCTGGGGACACAGCAGGATGGGATTTTCCTCCTAGGCTGTTCAGATGCTCAGCTGCACAGGCAGCTCAGTGCAACGTGGTGAAGCGTGGCAGTAGCCACCTGTGTAAGCTGACTGCTTGCCCAGAAGTATTGCAGGCAGCACATGAGTTTTGTGGAGGAGAGTATTAAAAGCAGGGGGAAAAAAAGTCATTTTGGCTACTAGGATTTAAGGGGAAGTGSCTGAAAGTCAGGTCTGGGAGATAGCTGCCTTCAGGAGACATGGAGTGTTCAGCTGGAAAGAACTCCTGGCTGCTGCAGATTTGCTGTGCTCAGGGCCCAGCTGGCTGTGCTGGGGTGGCCCAGGGTGGCCCCTGCTGCCCTGATGAGCTCCCAGAAGGCTGACTGGAAGCCACAGGGAGTGCAGTGTGACATCAGGGCATGAAGATGCCCAGAGGGATGTGTGAAGCACCTTGGGGCAGGGGTAGGTGTGATGGGCTGTGCAGGTGCCTGGTTTGTTGGGGTGTCTGCAGGTCCTCCCATCCTCCTGGAGCCCCTTGGCTCTCGCCACTCGTGCAGGTGAGCTGGGGGGAATCTCTCAGGTGAACCCACAGGAGTTTGCAGTGGGACTGTTCACTCCTGTGCCGGGCCTTTTCCTACCCACAGGAGGGTTCTGCTTGTCATGCACTCGTCATGGGCTGAGGGCTCCAGAGCCTCCCCTGCCAGCTCCACATTGGGATGCAGAGTCCAACCTCCTGCCTCCTCCATCAGCTCCCTGCTGCTGCAGCATGGCTCTTGGCAGTGGAGCTGGCAGGATGCAAGTGCAGGAGCAGGGCACAGCACCTGGTTTGGAACAAGACTCAAGAGTTCTGGAGTGCAAAAGCTCCAATTTCCCATAAAAATKGAAGGATTTGGGTCAGAATCTCAGGGTGAGGGTTGTACTTTTCATGTACAGCCTTTCAGAGGTGATGAGGCCRAAAAGAGAGGCAATGTAAAGCAGCAGAGGAAGCCTCCTGATCCTGCACCCAGACAACAGCTTCTGAATAAGAGATCTCTCAGAAAAGAAGCCAGACTTTAAAGCTCAAACTGCTAATGTCTGTAGCTGGGCCTTGTCTGAATTGCCACTGATGACTCACTTCTGCTGAGGACCATCTGCATCTTCTGTTTGATTGCTGGTTAGGATGTGTATAGACACCTTCTCAGCTCCCTTTCTCTCCTGCAGCAGAGTCCTCTAGGATCAGCAGTGGCTCCTTTGCTCTACTTCCTTTCTGGATTCTTCACAGTG